ACTATCAGACCTCTAAGCGTGGATTTTTTAAATATTATTTTTCAAGGACTATCAGAGCCATAGGCGTGGATTTTTTAAATATTATTTTTCAAGGACTATCAGAGCTCTAAGCGTGGATTTTTTTAAATATTATTTTTCAAGGTCTATCAGAGCTCTAAGCGTGGATTTTTTAAATATTATTTTTCAAGGACTATCAGAGCTCTAAGCGTGGATTTTTTTAAATATTATTTTTCAAGGTCTATCAGAGCTCTAAGCGTGGATTTTTTAAATATTATTTTTCAAGGACTATCAGAGCTCTAAGCGTGGATTTTTTAAATATTATTTTTCAAGGACTATCAGAGCTCTAAGCGTGGATTTTTTAAATATTATTTTTCAAGGACTATCAGAGCTCTAAGCGTGGATTTTTTAAATATTATTTTTCAAGGACTATCAGAGCTCTAAGCGTGGATTTTTTTAAATATTATTTTTCAAGGTCTATCAGAGCTCTAAGCGTGGATTTTTTAAATATTATTTTTCAAGGACTATCAGAGCTCTAAGCGTGGATTTTTTTAAATATTATTTTTCAAGGTCTATCAGAGCTCTAAGCGTGGATTTTTTAAATATTATTTTTCAAGGACTATCAGAGCTCTAAGCGTGGATTTTTTTAAATATTATTTTTCAAGGTCTATCAGAGCTCTAAGCGTGGATTTTTTAAATATTATTTTTCAAGGACTATCAGAGCTCTAAGCGTGGATTTTTTAAATATTATTTTTCAAGGACTATCAGAGCTCTAAGCGTGGATTTTTTAAATATTATTTTTCAAGGACTATCAGAGCTCTAAGCGTGGATTTTTTAAATATTATTTTTCAAGGACTATCAGAGCTCTAAGCGTGGATTTTTTAAATATTATTTTTCAAGGACTATCAGAGCTCTAAGCGTGGATTTTTTAAATATTATTTTTCAAGATCTATCAGAGCTCTAAGCCTGGATTTTTTAAATATTATTTTTCAAGGTCTATCAGAGCTCTAAACCTGGATTTTTTAAATATTATTTTTCAAGGTCTATCAGAGCTCTAAGCCTGGATTTTTTAAATATTATTTTTCAAGGTCTATCAGAGCTCTAAGCCTGGATTTTTTAAATATTATTTTTCAAGGTCTATCACAGCTCTAAGCCTGGATTTTTTAAATATTATTTTTCAAGGACTATAAGAGCCATAGGCGTGGTTTTTAAAAATTATTTTTCAAGGACTATCAGAGCCATAGGCGTGGATTTTTTAAATAATATTTTTCAAGGAATATCAGAGCCCTAAGCGTGGATTTTTTTAAATAATATTTTTCAAGGAATATCAGAGCCCTAAGCGTGGATTTTTTAAATAATATTTTTCAAGGAATATCAGAGCTCTAAGCGTGGATTTTTTAAATATTATTTTTCAAGGAATATCAGAGCTCTAAGCGTGGATTTTTTAAATTTTATTTTTCAAGGAATATTAGAGCTCTAAGCGTGGATTTTTTAAATTTTATTTTTCAAGGAATATCAGAGCTCTAAGCGTGGATTTTTTAAATTTTATTTTTCAAGGAATATCAGAGCTCTAAGCGTGGATTTTTTAAATTTTATTTTTCAAGGAATATCAGAGTTCTAAGCGTGGATTTTTTAAATTTTATTTTTCAAGGAATATCAGAGCTCTAAGCGTGGATTTTTTAAATTTTATTTTTCAAGGACTAAAAAAAATATTTTTCAAGGTCTATCAGACCTCTAAGCCTGGATTTTTTAAATATTATTTTTCAAGGACTAAAAAAATATTTTTCAAGATCTATCAGACCTCTAAGCCTGGATGTTTTAATAGTTATTTTTCAAGGATAATCAGAGCTCTAAATATGTGGTCATTTAATCACTACCAAAAAAATGTTGGCCTGTTGTAGTGTGCCGATATAAAGGTTTCAGTTTTTTTTATTTAATGGTGATCGCCGCTTATTTGAATTAATCATAAATAAACAATTTACAGTCACTGCAGCATGGAATTATCTGCATTAAATTGTCACATAAAATTTTGTGCATTGAGGTTTCCGGTAACCATGGAAAATCACATTGTGTTGCCACCGAGTCGAGTTAATTTTGTGAACATCATCTGAAACTCCCAACTCTTGTCGTTGGCAACCTCCCACTATTGTTCGCTGTGCTTTTTTTTCTCACGCAACACTCTCTTCTCTCTGGGATGACAAAACAAATGTGTGGTAATCGGAAAACAGGCTGCATCATCCATTCCTACTATTTAAGGTGCAATTTTTGTTGTTGCAATGTTTATTGCCCATTTCCGGTTTTTTATTTGCTATTGAACTTGAACTTGTTTATTGATATGCCACAGCAATTGCAGCAGCAACATGAACCTCAGTAGAAGCAGCTGGAAAAACTTTATGGATGGATACATGGATGCTGCAATATCAACAACAGTCGTTGTGGTTGGTTGCTTGTTTTTACAATTGACAAGCTATGGTGAAGATCACCATAATCGTGGCGATTGAAAATACAATCATTGCCGTCGTTGTCTTCGTTAACCGCAATCGAATGCTCAGCCAAGCAAATAAACCCACTCTAACCACAATAATTTCAAGGAAGGTTTTTCTTTTTCCCCGCCGATATTTCCAAATGAAATGGAAGCTAAAATAATGGAGTGCCAATATTGACGCCAACAAAGCTGGAATTGTTTTGGCTGCTGATGCTGCTGCTGCCGATGTCGCTGCTTTCGTCATGAAAATGTGAACATGAAATCTGGATTTGCTAGTTTTATTTTCTTTTGTTGTTTATTTTCCTTCCTTGGATCGATGTTTTGGCGTCTTTTGCGTTTTACCAACCATTTTCTGGTTTTTCTATATATTGGTTGTTGTTGTTGCTGGTTCGCTCCATGAATTTGTGGCACGAACGTATCTGAATCCTCCATTGCCATATAAATTCGGCACATGAAAAATCTAGAGTTAAAAAAGTTAAGGGGGAAATTTTGTTTTGATTAAATTAGTTGCTGTTGTTTTTTTTTTCTTTTTTTGATATTGTTGTTTTGTTTTTTTTTTTACTAGAAAACTGGAGCCTGTTGCGCCTACAGTTGGCCATTTGTAAGTCTTTGTATAGCTTTCTTCTTCATTGCCAATACATAACTGGTTGTTGTTGTTTTTGTCATGACCACCAACAGTAAATTATATAACATATTTACTTTTTTGATTATTTGTATAGGCAAGATTGCAATGCGGACCTTTAGTTTTGAATTTGGTGAAAGGGATTATTCATGTTGGATTTTGTTGTTTTCGTTTTCGTTGCATATTTTCCTACATTAATTCAATAATAATTTATTTTTTAATTAATTGTATATTTGAAATAACGGAAATTAGCCTAAATAAGCAGAAGAGAGGGCTATCAGAGTTATAAACGTGTAATCTTAAAATATTATTTTTCGAGGACTAACAAAATTCTTAGCGTGGATTTTTTTAATACTCTTTTTCAAGGATTATCAGTGCACTAAGCGTGGATTTTTTTAAATATTATTTTTCAATGACTATCTGAGAACTGAGCGTGCAATTTTTAAATTTCATTTTTCAAGGAACATCAGGGCATTAAGCGTGGATTTTTTAAATATTATTTTTCAGGGACTATCAGCGATATAAGCGTGGATTTTTTAAATATTCTTTTGCAAGGACTATCAGGGCTCTGAGCGTGGATTTTTAAAAATTATGTTGCAAGGCTCAGCGATATAAACGTGGTTTTTTAATATTTTTTTTTTCAAGGCCTATCAGAGCTCTAAGCGTGTTTTTTTTTAATATTATTTTTCAACGATTTACAAAGCTCTATGTGAGACATTTTTTAATATTATTTTCAAGGCCTATCAGAGCTCTAAGCGTGGTTTTGTCAAATATTCCTTTTCAATGACTGTCAGAGCTCTAGCGGGGATTTTTTAAATGTTTTTTTTTTCAAGGGCTATTAGGGCATTAAGCGTGTTTTTTTTAATATTATTTTTTAAGGAATATCAGATCTTTAAGCTTGGATGTTTTAAATATAATTTTTCAAGGACTATCAGATCAGTAAGCGTGGATGTTTTAAAAATTATTTTTCAAAGACTATCGGCACAGAGCCTATATTTTTTGAAATTTGGTTTTCAATGACTATCAGGTTACTAAGGTTCTTTTTCAAGGACTATCAAGGCTCTAAGCAGATTTTTAAATATTATTTTTAAGGACTATCGTATCAGTAAGCGCGGATTTTAATTTTTTTTAAGGACTATCAGATCAGTAAGCGTGGATTTTTAAATATTATTTTTAAGGACTATCGGATCAGTATGCGTGGATTTTTAAATATTATTTTTAAGGACTATCGGATTAGTATGCGTGGATTTTTAAATATTATTTTTAAGGACTATCGGATCAGTAAGCGTTGATAGACCATGTTTTTCAGGGCCTATCAGAGCTTGTATTGGCTATAGGAATATAGCCTGGTATTTCCATTGCTCCTCCGCTGATAGACGTACAGACGAGTCGTTTAGGAGTGGTGGTTAATTGAAAAATACCTAAAATATTCGTACCAATGACTTCTAATACGGATTAAAGTTAAATCCTTGGATCATGACCCTTAATCCTGTATCCGTGGCCCTTATTCGGATTAATACTTTATCCAGGGCCAATGACCCACAGCATTTTGCCATTTCGGGCTCTTGAAGGATAAAATACATCCTCCCATCCGATATCTGTTAAATTAGAAGTTCTATACACATTTTCTAACTAACGTGGCTATATTGTGACATTTTGGGTTCTCTGAAAGTAAAAAAGAGAAGTTCTCGCAGAAAATATGAGTCCATATTTTAACAAAGACGGCATATAGCGGATTCATTTTAGGTATTTTGACAGAGTTGCAAGATTTTTGCCACAGGTTTTTACCAAGATTATAATTCTGAACTTTTCAAATGTTATTTATTATTACATATTTTTATTTTTACATTTTTTAAGCATCAATTTAAGCTATAAAAATTCTATTTTTTTTTGCAGATACAACCACTCTATGATTCATATCAACGTGATGTGGAAATCAATCTATGGGAGCCAATCAATCGCTATTGGGCCGAATGCTATGAAGCCTGTAAAGTGGCATCGAAAAAACGCAGTACATTCCAAGCTGAGAATAGAACACTATTTCAAGTAAGTAGGATGATATAAAACGAACCGAAGAACATGCATGCAATAACACAATAATCATAAATAATACCAGCAACAAAAAATTCAAACTACCAAATAAAGAGACATACAAATAAATAATGAAAATTCCTCTTGTATGTTAATAGCGTTAATATTTCAAGTGTCGTTCAAAAAATGTTTTTTTTTTTATTTAAATTGCAGAAAAAAATTGTCATACCCTGGAAGGTGCGTCAAGTTGAAGAAACGCGACGTTTAAATGCAGCTGCACTGCAGCATAAACGACGCAGCAGTCACATAAAGAAAAAGTGGAAATGTGCCAAACGATTCCTGTACGGACCTCGCGGTCCCTGGTATACAGGGTAAGTAGAGATTGGGTTTTTTGTATCTTGAAACTTGGTATTAATTAAAAATTTTCACTTGAGTACAAAACGACGAAGCCCATTGGGAGCTTTGTAATATTGTCACTTGTGGTGTAATAATTACTATTACAACAAAATAATATAATTTTTTCCTACATCAATAAATGTGTGTGTGAAATTTGTTGCTACAACTAAATTATGGTGCGTGTTTTTTGCTACGACACCTGCCTAAAATAGGGGAAAGAAATTTATTTTCCTTTAAGAAAATTTTGTGTACAGTGGATCCGAATACATTTTGTATACATACCCATATTAAATATTTTCTATAAAGATGTTTATCATCCTCCAAGAATCCAGAATGCTAAATTTCAAGCACTAACCCGGCTCTAAGCATGGATTTTTTAAATATTATTTTTCAAATCCTATCAGTAGATTTTTTTTAAATATTATTTTTCAAGGATGATCAGAGCTATAATCGTGGATTTTTTTAATATTATTTTTCAACGACTATCAGATCTCTATGCGTGGATTTTTTAAATACTATTTTTTCAAGGACTATCAGAGCTCTAAGCGTGGATTTTTAAATATTATTTTTCAGGGCTCTAAGCTAAAATTTTTTTAAATATTATTTTTCAACGACTATCGGGTCTCTAAGCATGGATTTTTTAAATATTATTTTTCACCGACTACCACGGCTCTAAGAGTGGATTTTTTAAATATTATTTTTCACCGACTATCAGGGCTCTAAGCTAAAATTTTTTTAAATATTATTTTTCAACGACTATCAGGGCTCTAAGCATGGATTTTTTAAATATTATTTTTCACCGACTACCACGGCTCTAAGAGTGGATTTTTTAAATATTATTTTCCAAGGACTATCTGAGCTCAATGCGTGGATTTTTATACCCTACACAACTATGTTGTCAGGGTATTATAGCTTTGTGCAGCCCCAAAAGTTTGTAATGCCGCGAAATATTGGTCCTAGACCCACCTTTAAGTATGCCGATCGTCATATCTCGACTAGCTGAGTCGATCTAGACATGTGTGTCCGTCCGTCTGTCCATTATAATTTGTAAACTCGAGGCCACAGGCCACAGTTATGGACCAATCTTCACGAAATTTTGCATGTAGGATGGGTTCTGGCGAATGAAGACCCCTATTGTTTTTGGGAAAGATCGATTGATATTTAGGGGATGAAATGGACCAAATACTAAATTTTTGTCGGTTTTTCTGGTCGCTCCAGAGGCCGCAATAATGGTCCAAAAATGGTGAAATTTTCCAAGGAGAAGGAGATCAGGCCAAAGAATAAGCATGCCTGTTCTCATAAAGATCGGTCAATATTTAGCGGGTCAAATGGACCCTGACTTTTGTGTGAAAAATGACAAAATTTGTATTCTATAGCGTATATATTTACCCCTGAAGGACCCGAAAACTTTATATTATTTCCAAGAGGAGTGGTTGACCTTTAAACTAATACCAATTATATTGTTGTATGTGCTCGGATGTGGGAGTTACACCTAAATATTTACAGGTATCTCCGTATTCGTATATTATTTCGTAGCCCATTATCACTCTAGAGAGCGGAACTATAGCGCTGATCGCTTTGAAATGTTCTATGAGGTTCCAGTTATGGTCAAGGACAACGCCTATAATTTTCGGTGATGATCAGATAATAATTTCGAAATGAAGTGGACCAAAAACTTAATTTTTTGTGTTATAATCGAGTCGAACTGTAGACAAATGAAAGCCGAACATCACAGCACAACCCACGGTGAAGGGAGTCTGGACAATAGCTGTACTGAATACTCGTAATATTCGAAAAATATGTCAGTGTGAGGAAGAGGTGCTATTTACCACTAATCGGGCAAGAGGGTGGGTGCAAATATAACGAAATATTGCCCAGGCTCGGAATATACATCCACAGAAAATTTGAATTCCGTGGTAGTTGTGTAGTGTATCGTATGGTCGGCCCCGTCCGACTATACTGCTCCGCTCACTGGTTTAAATTTTATTTTTCACCGACTATCACGGCTCTAAGAGTGGATTTTTAAATATTATTTTCCAAGGACTATCAGAGCTCAATTCGTGGATTTTTTGATATTATTTTTCAAGGACTATCAGAGCTCTAAGCGTAGATTTTTTAAATATTATTTTTCAAGGACCATCAGAGCTCTAAGCGTAGATTTTTTAAATATTATTTTTCAAGGACCATCAGAGCTCTAAGTGTAGATTTTTTAAATATTATTTTTCAAGGACTATCAGAGCTCTAAGTGTAGATTTTTTAAATATTATTTTTTGAAGGACTATCAGAGCTCTAATCGTAGATTTTTTAAATATTATTTTTCAAGGACTATCGTAGATTTTTTAAATATTATTTTTCAAGGACTATCGTAGATTTTTTAAATATTATTTTTCAAGGACTATCGTAGATTTTTTAAATATTATTTTTCAAGGACCATCACTGCTCCATTTATTAGTTTTTATTTAATTTTTTTTTTATTAAAATGTTTCTTAGTAGGGAAATCATTAGTTTTTGCTTTTCTTTTTTAAGATAATTTCCCTATGTTTGAAGGTTCATCCCCTGTTTTTATTGATGATGACATTACCCACAGTCCAATGCATTTTATTGCACTTGGAGTAAATTACAAAGTGACAATTTGCTTCATATCAACAGTAACAAATGTTATATAATGAAACGAAAAAAAAACAACAACAACAACAAGAAATGCAACACGAAATATGTAGCGAAAGTAAATTTTACAAATGAAAATATTTTTCATTTATGAAATTTTATTACAATAACATAAACTGCAACCTGCAAAGGCAGTTAGCAACACCATCACAAACAAATCGCATGTTTTTTGGTTAAATTATTTTAAATCGACATTCATAACGCAAAGTCATTCGCATGAAAAGTCATTCCATTTCCCAAAACCAAGAAAAAAACGCAAACTTTGAAATAAGTAAATTATGGTAACCAGAAATCCAACTTTTTTAAAAATGAATGAGACATTGTGGTGGTATTTCCTTTTCGCAGAGGCGAAAACTAAAAAAAAAAATAATCAACGAATTATTTTAACAAATTCTCTTAAAGACTTTCAAAACGTTTTCTTAAGAAAATTTATTTGAATTGATTTTAAATATATTTTTGTTCTGATAGAGAACATGCAATGACATGGTTTTTTAAATAAATTAAGTTGGTTTTTATTTCTGTCAGCAATACGTTGCACAGTGGCATGGCTGCACTAAAACAATCCAGGCTTATATAGGTCTGCGAAAAAAAAATCTGTTAAAAATCCACGATCTAGTAGTCCTTCCTAATGGTCTAGATGTGGGTTAAAAAGTACTCAAATAATCCTTCAAAAAATATTCTTTAAAAATCAACGCTTATCGCTTGTATTGAAAAAAAAAACAACCATGAACATAGCTCTGCAATACATTCTATAGTCCTGCAAATTCTTAAACATAAATCACTTACCTTTCAAGATTAAATACCATAGTGCCTAAATTTTCAATTTAAAATGATTTCATCAATTACATTTTTGATTTTTCTTGCTAATTGTCTTGCCATGCCTTGACGGGTGGTATATCAAAGAGAAATATCGATTTATAATTCACTTTAAATGCATCACAAAAAAGCAAAAACGTTTTATTATAACCTTGCTGCCAATTTTGAGTTCAATATTTTTGATAGGATTTTTTTTTATTTTATTCATTCACGCTGAATGTGCGTGGACCAGTTCTGCCATATGACAAAAAAAATCAACTGTGGTAGCAATATTATTAACATTTTATATATGAATTTTATTAAATTGTTTTTTGGTGTCAAAAACCGCCAGCACAAAGTCAGCTTCTGAGCTCGTGGCAGACTACAAAGTAACGCACCTTGAAATGGAACAACAGCAAACAAAAAATATAAAAAAAAAATAAATAAAAACCTTAATGAATTAATCTTTTTTGTCTACAACTTCAAAGACACGCCAAAGGCAATAACAATAAAAAAAGTACAGAAATAAAATCCGGTGCCAGGTTCTTTTTATATGTTTTCACCTTCCACTGTTCTGTAGTGAAGGTTGGAAAAGTTGTTTTCATTTGAGAGCATGTCCATTGATATTCTAAAGTATAACAGCAAAAAAACCCGATTAAAACCACATCAGTTGGCCACGAGAACTTTGAACGCACTTTGTGTCATTCATTCATTTAATCATGTTTTAATTACAGTTGTTTTTTTTTTCATTTGAAGTTTAAGGCAGTTTTTAATTATACAAAAACAAAGAAACAAATATTGAAATTCGATTAGTTTTTTTAATAGTGGGAGACCTGTGAATAAATGAAAAAAAATCGATTTAATGGTCTGGAGGTGGAGAATTTCTTATGAAGTTAAAGACCTTGGCGAGTACATTAAGAACCTGAAGGAAAGTGTTTGATTTTGATAACTATAATTTTCAATGGACCTATAATCCTATGAGCGATTATAGGTCAATCACGCAAAGAGTCAAGTAGAAAAGAAACCAGTAAGGAAAGTAGTAACGTCTGACTGGGCCGACTATATGATACCCTTCACCACTTTGGGTATATTTTACATATTTATCCTAACAGACGACGCGTTTTGTTATAAATCTATATCTGAATCGATTTCAGGGAAACTTGCCAGAGACTAATTTATATAACATCAGTACGTTGTGTCAATCGGCCTAGCTATGGATCTTTTCACGAAGCATAGCAACAACATTCTACACTTAATTCAGTACCCTATACCAAAATTCGTGCAAATCGAAAGATGTACAGGGAATTTGGTGCACCAATTACCTTAAATAGAATGAAAATACATATGGGAGCTATATCTAAATCTGAACCGATTTTCACGAAACTTGGCAGACATCATTCTCGATCTTATTCATAACTCTGTGCCAAATTTCCTGCACATCAAAAAATGTCCAGGGACTTTAGTAGACTATTTACCTAAACTCGGGCGAAGCTATATATGGGAGCTATATCTA